TCTGAAGGTTTACTACTCTGGACTGTCCATAGATCTGTCCTGATCCCGTAATTACTTATTTTTAGTCTATTAAGGATCGTTTTGGACTTAAGGCATTCCCCATGATCGTTCTGTACAAAGACAGTACATGAGTGCGGCTTGGGTATATCTCTTCCTTCACAGCTCTAAGAGATGCACTCTCCCAATACCTCAGGGTTGAAATCATCTCCTTTAGCCACCGCGCAGTTATATCATCAGCACAGTGAAGTTCCAGGAAACTCGGCTTATATGTACTCTTCAGATAGCGAACCTGTGGTCCTGCTTCTGGAATTTTATTATGCGCGCCTAAGATGGCTATTTGGACTGCCTTAAGCTTCTCTGTATCCATCTTGGCTAATTCTATTAGCTTGGCTTGGCTTGGTAATCCTATTAGCTTCGTTAAAAGTACACACCTTCGGTTCTTGGCCTTTGCTCTTTTTGTTTCCTTGTCTATCAGCTTGGGAGATTTCTTTAGAAATTCCGGGCCCTTTAGCGTTCGGATTTTCTAAAGAAACTCCCTGCCCTTCGGCTTTAGGAACTGTAATTTTAGCTCTGAAGTTCCCTGGCCCTTCGGCATCGAGAGTTTTTACTATATCTGTTTTTTTTTGAGATTCCATATCGGTCCCAGGAGTAGCTAGGAAAAGACAGTTAACCCCCCGCAGAGCCCCGCTTGTTAGGGTAAGGTCTAAATACTAGGGGGTGCGACCCGTTGTCCCAAAGGAACCGTTTGCGATACTGTCGCCCCAGTGCCTTACAGCCTTCACCATGGTGTCTCACTCTCAACTCAGTCTCAGTTTAGTCTCAACAGGGCCACCACGTGAAGGGGTAATCAAAGATTGATTACACACCTTCAATTATTGTTGGGGGTATCCAGCGGTTTTAGGATAATTTAAGGAGGTGCAAAGTTCTAAGACTCTCCGTGCAAAACTCGTCCCCTGAGATTTGTTCTTTTCCCGCTTAGCTTTACGCGGATTAAAAGAAGAGCGCATCCCCGGGCCCTTATGTTAACTGACACCATAGATTCTTTTATTGCAATATTTTTCCTTGCTTACAGAATAATGCCTTGGTTATTTATTGGGTACTAGTTTAGGTACTTTTACTAATTTTAACAGTTTGTATTTTTTATTTCTTAGAACATAACGAAAGTACTCTTATTTTAAAAAACTTACAATGAAGTAAACAACTTCTAATGTATAATGATGTATATTAAAAAAAATTATAAAATTAAAATTATCCAAACATATTAAAAACTTCAGAACGTTTTTGGTCTTATCAGACCATCGTTAGGAAAAGTATCAGATTAGAAATTAAAACTAGCCACATAGTAAGGTCTAATAACCCTAAGGTTACTTATTGAAAACTTTAAAATTGATATGACACTAGGTCCATTTTGAAAGACTACACTTTAAAGAAACATACTAATCCCTACTCGAAACAAGGAAGTTAGTGTTCTGAGGAAGATACCAGTCAACACCATTGAGTTATACTGTTAACAAGACATCACCCTGACTAACTCGATTTTAAATAACAAATACCTCTGTTAGATTCCCATTTCTTCTATGGTTCTATGTTCTTTTGTTATTATAATCTGATATATGTCGTATTTTTAACATTTTTCTTTTTTTTTTTGTACATAATATCGTTGTATCTCTTTTTTTTTTCTTCCTGTGCTCTCCTATTTTGAATTTCTTTGTAACCATTTTTGTCTGGCTGTATTTTAGCTATTTCTGCTATTGTTTCTTTTTCTTTTATTTTTACCCAGTCTTTTCTTTGCCGCCTCCGTAATTATTGTTCTTTTCATCTTTTCATTGTCTAATCATTTATCTTTTTCTGCTTTCTAGTGACTTTTCTAAACTATGCTTAGCAAATTCTTCTGCATACAGTGGTTCTTTTCCCAATTTGGCATTTGCATCTCCCAGAACTATAACTGCATTTCCCTTTCGTATTTTCTTACATTCCACTTTGAGTTTGTCATAGAATTGATCGATTACTAGTTCTTCTGCTGAGTATGTTAGGGCATAGATATTAATGATTGCAACATTGTGAAATTTACAATCTATAGATATGTTTCATACATAACTTGGCTTTCATACATAAAAGGGCTTTTAAGAATAGAAAAACAGATTCGACATACGCACTTCACCTTCTAGATCATAATCATTATTTTAATGACAAATTTAAAATTCTTCACATTCAAAATAAAGGCCTTAAGCTATCTTTGTTAGAATCTATGGAAATCAACAAATTAAAAAACACAGATATAATTCTGAATGACCAACTTGAGACAAACAGTTCTCCCCTCCTCAACCTATTTCATTAGAGACTATAAATTTGTAAACCCAAGCCAAAATAGATCACTTGCGAAAGGCAATCAGCCGAAACAGCTGTAGTGATAATATTTAAATAAAAATTTTGTGGAAGTTTGAAAACAAAGTTTTCAGTGTTTTATTGTTACATTTACCTATTGTTTCGCTCACCGCCTCAACTTAGTTTTACAGCAAAGTTGCTCCAATATTACACAAGTCAAAATATTATTCTCAACGCTTCAAGGTATTCCAGCTTATTTTCACCAATCATCCAAAACGGTCCTATTTTTTAAATAAAATACTTGGAAAACCAATTACCACAAATAGTGAAGTAAGATGAAATTCAAATGCAAAAGTAGTATATGCTGTGTCACAAGAAAGAAAAAAATTGTTCCAAGTCTTTCAGGACATAATTAATTGCCCAGAATCAAAAGCAAAATCAATTAGGTAGTCAGATGGTTTTAAAGGTAAGTTGAAGGATTTGAAATTTGTATTTTTATTAAATGTTTTTAGTGATATATTTCAACAAACTGAGCTCTTATACAATATCTTGCAGAATAAAAATAATGATGTTCAATTGTGTACCAATTCAGTGTAACTTTGCCAATTACCTGGTAGTTCATCTAACAACGGAGATCAAAGTTTTTTGGAGAAAGCTAAACCTAAATTTAAAAGGATCTTTTTTAAAATTTAGGATAATATTATCACTCAATTAGAGCAACGTTTCTCGGATTACAAAAAATTTCATTAACTGGAATTGGGCGATAATAAAAGATTCACAGAATATGTAATTTACCATATAATTTGATTGGCTTGGCCTACCCAAAAGTTTACCACATTAGCCGCCACTGGCGTCAAATACAATCTATGATCAGTAAAAACTATAAGTACTTAAAAACATATAAAATATGTATACACAAAAATATACAAATTGTTAAAAAGATGCCTGCAAGTATTCCTCTAACATATTATTTGAGTCTTTAACATAATTAGGTAATTTATTTTTTACTTTGAGAAAATTGACTATACATGAGCAGAATAATAAAGTTTTAAGATATCTAGAGAGACAAAATTCCTAAGTTGACATAGAACATAACAGTGTACAGACAATCTTCCCACTACTTATTGAAGTAGCTATTTACCACTGACCCATTGTCAAGTTTTACTAATGGACTCATCTGCATAGTAGAAGGTGAAGATGTTACCATATTGATCTTTGATCCATTTAAAATTAGGGCATTATTTAAATAGTAATGAGTCACACTTTTTGCAAGACAGTTTGCTTTTTGTACTAAATGAAAAAAATTATTGGAATTTGGTGCAATTATGGTATCGTCAGCAGATTAAGTGACATAACAACCTGATTGCTGTGTCATGTTATCTACTGGAACGCTTATTGCATCAGAAAAATGATCTAATGGATTCCGAACCAAACATGTTGAGCTGTTGATTTTATCGTTTATCAGTTGATTTAAATCATTGACGAAAATCAAAAATAAAAGGGGGCCACTGATACTTCCATGTGGAACTCTGGAGAGGACACTTTCTTCTGAAGAAAATATTATATTCCCATTCACATTGACCCTAATCTTTTAAAACCTTTTCGATAAATAGGTGTGGATCCACTTTAACGCAGTTCCTCTAACACCACTATGATAAAGTTTTTCCAGCAGTATTGAATGATTTTCAGTTTCAAAAGCACGTGCTAAGTCAAAAAACAAACAAATCACTTTATTACCCTTATCAAAGTTCGATAAAATATGATTGCACAGCGCTAGTAGTGCATCTTGCACACTTATGTATACCTTCATGGAAACTAAATTGAGACTATTCTATAATGTTGTGCTTGTTAATATACGAGAGGAGACGTGTATGAAATGCTTTCCCATATATTTTTGAAAACACAGATAAAAGTGATAGGCCTCGATAGTTATCAAATTTTGATTTGTCACCTTATTTATATATAGGCACAACTAAAGCAGTATTTAGAATTTGAGGAAAAATCTCTTCCTGAAATGAAAGGTTTACTAGAAATGTTAATTGTTTATATATGTTATAAGATACATGTGTTAGCATAGATTACGGGATTTCATCCAGTCCAGCCGAGGATTTTTTTAAGATATCTTCAATTATTCTTTTTATTTCTATATCACTAACAGGATAAAGAAAAAGGAGGTGTATAGGCAAGGATTCTTAGGATTATAGTTAGGTGAAGTTTGACTAATTAAATTTTTTACGAAATTCGAGAAATGTTTACTTAAAGATTCTGCTATGTCGTGAGGTCATCCACAGAAATTCCCAAATTATTTTTAAATTTACTTCGGTATTTGGACAGTTTCGATTTTTACCTCCAACAGTGTTTCGATTTATGATGCGCCAAGCCTCAGCTATACTATTCAGCGCAGTTATCATTTTATTATTAAAATAAGTTTGCTTGGCTAAGTTAACTTTGTAAGTCGGTACATAAACTCTATCTAAACATACGCAACGCAACTTTGATGTCTACTGGGTAGATCAAGTAGACTAAAATCAAATTAGCCAAATAAGATAAATAAAACATGTGTAAGTAATTTTTAAGCTGCTTAAGTTTTTTACTATCTATTTTGGTAGAAGTAACAGTATTTCGCAAAAGTTTGTTAATTTTATCTTTATTAAAATCATAATTTAATGTTTCAGGTTACATCAGAAGTTTTTCTCTGTGTATATACTACGTATCAAACCGGAAAAAAAGGAAATCCAAGAAAAAGAAATTAAAACTGACAAAAATGTTTCCCTCTTTCTAAAACAGGTAAATTATTATTTATTCTAAAGTCCAAAAACGCTCTTTACAAAAGTAAACTGCAAATAGTGCAGATTATTTTATGTGATTATTTCATGTAAATCAAGTCAACTAAGGTATTCTTAAGTAAAATAGCCACAGAAACTCAATCCAAAATTACTGACAGTATTTTTTTTAAAGTCTTGAAAATTTTATACTTAAAAATGTATAACGATATGTTTTACTTGTCAATATAAGCGAGATATTTTAATCAAATAGAAGGCAGATATGGAACACAGTTTACTGATTAAATCTTGACCAAGTACGTTCCCTCCTAGAGTATCTTCAAGGGCAAATAAGCCAAGAAACGTTTTTTTTTTTAACTAAAGAAAATTAATTAACTTCGAAAAAACTCGAAAATGATGGTTGATTTTGATGAATTTTTCATGTAATATAACGTTGATTTACTTCGTCCAATTTTGCTCATCCAACAATACATTAAGACTGACATAAACATTAACAATTATACATTAACACAAGACAATGATAAACAGTTTAAAATTTAAAAATAATGACGAAGCTACATGTTAGATGGCATTAGGAGAGAGGATGGCTCCTGGTCTTAACGGAAATGTTAAAGTGACATGTGACATATGACAACTTGGATGGCATTCACAATCATTGTGATGTGTTCTGCACATTTTAAAATTCTATTAAACTGAGTATTGATCAAAGGTCTAACTGAAACCGCTATAGGATATCAACTGATGAAATATAAAATTATATAGATTACTTTAAGTAGATTGCATCATCCAGATCTCACACTCAAACCTGTCTGTAATAAATTAGGGTGTTAGTTTGGGGGCAACTGAAGTGGACGTAGAGTATGAATGCAAGAAATAGACTAAACAATCTATTAGATAGTGGGTGGTTAACTACAATAAAAGGGTCTACCAAGCACTATCAATATTGTAGAAAAGAAGAAATCGACTTATGAAATTGAAATACTAAGAACTTAAAATCAAAATTGAAAGCGAAGTGTATAAATAGGGTATAATCCAAATAGTTGAGTTGAACTCACGGTCAATGGGAGAACCATAAAATTAAAATGTCAAAGAATTACTTAAGACCAACTGACCAACAGTGGGAGATGTTGAAATATACAACCGTGGAGATGGTATATCCAAATTACAAATGGATTTTCGAAGTAGAAATTGAAACGTCAATAAACTTACTTTAACCTTTAATTCCGGCTTATTCCCATTTAAATAGTAATTAATTTACCTTTCTGTTTAACTCTAAAAGTTCTGTCTTTCAAAAATTAATATATTAGCTGGATAGAGTGGATGAAAAGATTCGGAAAGTAGATTCAGTTTTAGAAACAACCCTCTGTGCCACACTTCATCGAATGCTTTTGCTATGCTTAGGAAAATAGCTGAGCATATTATATTCTTTATTGTTAGGTGGTATATTTAATATCCTATCAGTTTAACCAATGTTTGTTTTGTGAAGTGTGAAACATTTTATGGACTTTTAAACAGAACATTTTCTTCTGCGTATATTGCAGCGAGGCCGTTTGCGTTCCAGGTCATTATTTTTAATCGTTAGGGACACTATAATAACTTAAATTATTAATAAATTGAAATCATTTAGATCTTTCAATGCAGTTTACATTAAAGTTAACCTTTTTTAAAAACAAAACAAAACTAAATCAAAATGTATGGTTAGGTATGTACCAAATGTCATGAAAATAATGCTGTCATATGTCAAGATTAAATATTAAAACTTTATAAGAATAATTAATATGACAGTTAGCCAATCCTCAAAATTTATAATTATACTTATTATGAGTAATAATAATTTTCATCAATAATTTACTATAATTATTGATGAAAAATGTTTATTTTTACTTAAAAAAAAATAACAAAAAGAGTACTTGATTTCACTGAACACTATATCTCCTTTAAAAGTTTTGGGGCTATAACTGGTTTTCTAAATTAATTACTATTTAACTGGGAATAAGCCACAATTAAAGATAAAATACGTTTATTGAACCTAAATCATCAAGGCCATTAAATGTTAGAATAAGTGAACATCAATCTTATATTAAAAATAGAGAATTTGATAGAACTCAAATATGTAAACACGCATGGGATAATGAACATAGGGTTCAATGGAATAATTCAAATGTAGTCCTAAAAGAAACGGATGGTAAAAAAAGAAAAATCAAAGAAGCGGCTCTAATTATGCTAAATGAAGCCAATTGTGTCGCAAATTCCTCGGCAGAATTTGCGACACAAATCTGGTTACCAATATTGAAAGAGGAAGTTATTAATAAGAAAATACCAGTATTAGTCTGTCAGTAACATATAGAGGATACATCATTTATGTTTTTTAAATAACTTAACATATAAAATCAGAATTTTGATGTTTGTTGAAGGTAAACTAAATTCACGAACAAATACTTACAATGTCGGGATAGTATTATGAGGTTTTTTTCCTGGTTTTTCCCTGATAATTTACTATGGAATCACTAACAGAAGAATTTTACTGTCATAATGTCATGTGTTTGTCTTTTTAAAGACGAATTACATGCTATGATTTTTTCTGACGGATATTCTCAAGTTAAAGTTGATTTCATGTAATCGAATGAACTATCTTATAAGTAAAGTCGTCCCAGGAGCGCAACTCAACAATATTGGCAATATCATTTTAAAGTCGTCTACTTTAAAATGCATAATGTATGTCTGAATTGTCAATATAAATGAGTCAGATAAAATTAAATTATTAGAACAATTTTTCACTATGTAACAAAAAACAAAATTTGTTTAATTTACTGTTTGTATTTTGAGAACGATTTCCGAAGTGGAAATTGAAACTTCAATAAACGTATTTTTATCTTTAACTGTGGCTTATTCCCAGTTAAATAGTAATTAATTTACAATGCCACAAGAAAATAGCTTCAGAACAATATATGGTTTTCTAAATACTGCAAAATGAAACAAATGCGTTTCACAAGCTGCAAAATGATTTGGAATGACCAGGGATAAACAAATAGACAAAGGAAGTCGAAGTTGGGCGGAATTATCAAGTTCTGGCTAAAAAAATGGCAATCTTCAAAGCTTGGCTTTTCAAATACTTATCGAAAATATGTGTACCCCTAATATCGTTGTAATGCCTCTTACAAATCTTCCATTTAGGACACAATAACACATATAACTTTTCACAAACAAAATCTGCTAAAATTTTTTTAATGTTTAAAAGAACGGTGGAGCTACATATTGTTGGCATTATGATGATTCTCTCTCCTGATTCCAACCAGTATGTAGCTTCGCCGTTTTTTTTTTAATTTTAAACTGTTTGTCCTTGTGTCGTGTAGTTTTAATATGCAATTTTATGTTTATGACATTTTTAATAGATTGTTGAATAGACCAAATTTGATGAAATGCCCTTGAAGATGCTCTATGAGTAAAAGTACTTGGGCAAGATTTAATTAATAAACTGTGCTCAATATCTGCCTTTCATTTGATAAAATTTCATTTATTCGAGTATTTAACCTTATATCACTTTAAATGTTATAATGTTGCAAATAAAAATTGTTTATTTTTATATAAAAAAATTTTTACTAAAAGAGTACCTGATTTCACTGAATACTATACCTCTTTTAAAAGTTTTGAGGCTGGCACTGTTTTTTCTAAACACTGCAAAATAACACAAATGCATCTCACAAGCTGCAAAATCTCATGGAATGACCAAGGATAAACAAATATACGAAGGAAGTCGAAGTTGGGCGGGATTATCAAGTTTGGGTTAAAAAAAAATTGCAATCTTCAAAGCTTGGCTTTTCAAATACTTCTCGAAAACATGTGGACCCCTAATATCGTTGTAATACTACTAACAAATCTTTCATTTAGGACACAATACACCACATATAACTTTCCACAAACAAAATCTGCCGGTTTTCTAAAAATTACTTGCCGAGCTCTTTTCCCGTCAAAATTTCAAATCCAACTTTAACTGTAACTATTAACAGCTCACCAAACTACACATTTTCCATAACAAAAGAGAAAAAAACGAAAAAACATTACGAATTTGAAGAAAAATTCGGACTCCAATAAAAGTAAACCCCTTTAACGCCTATCTTTTCTTTGGAAAGTCGCTTGCCTTCTTTTTTGCGTTTCAAACTCAAATCCATTTGTTTTCTTTAAATAGATCATTCTTGTCTATGATACTTTTCTGTTTTTCGTCTTTCGCCTATTTTCTTTTGTAGTATATATATTTGAATTTTCATTATTTGTTGTAGGATCTTCTTTAGATTTGCTCTATATAAAAATAGGACCCGTGAAAATACCAAGCATACATACTTTTAGAAATGGTAAAATAGTATTAGTATCAAAAACTGATTTATTTCCAACCTAGTATTGAAACCATATACCATTCTCATCTTGTCATATTTTAACAAGCTCTACTATCTGTCATCATCATCATAATGCTGCCGTTCCAACCCTGCGTGGGTTGGAATTCTCTATTCACCTCAGACGTCCTATCTTAATATGTTTTACGATATCTGGTTCCTGGTATATTCTATAAAGTTTAAAGGTTTAAAATCTTATTCACACTCCATTGTCATTTACTGCTAATTGGCTTTAGTACTTTTCTTCCGAAAAATCCCAACATGTTTTCATTACTTTTTGTTAGAGCCCAAGTCTCTGAACCATGTGTTAGGACTGGGCGTATTATTGTTTTCTAGATTTTATTTTGTATTTCTCGATATAATTGTCGAAAAGATTGAGCCCAAAATCGCATCTCTTGGTCGTGCAAATTCTGCGGTTTATCTCAGCGGTAGTATTATTTTCAGTGTTAAGGATTTGTGGTTGCGTGCTTATTTTTGTATTCTTCGTTTTGTTGGTGTTTATTATTAAACCCATTTTTGTAGCTTATTACTTTAGTGCTACATACACCTCTTGTACAGAGTTTTTCGTTCTCCCAACAATATTGATATCATCAGTTGTAATTTGTGACATCTTCTTCTTACGGTGCCTATCCGTTCCGGATGTTGGCGATCAACATGGCGATCAACATGGCTATCCTAACATGGCTATCCTATTTGTGACATACGTATTACTTTTTCCAGAGCCAGATTTAACAGTATACAGAAGAGAGAGTGTATCTAGCGCAGTTCGTTATCTGCTCTGCATTGAAATTGTGCCTATCCATTTTAAGTTTTATGGTGTCATGTCATTCTATAATTAGCGAAGAATTTAATAATACTTAAGTATACTATTACAATTAATTAATTATTATCGTTTAACACATAAATAACAAAAGAAGGACAAATCTTTACCTACGCGCGTACTCTTGCTCTCACATAACCTGTTTTATGAAATTGTAACTAGATTTCAACACCGTGCATTAATAACCACCTTATTGACTTCATGTCATGAACTTTTTACATTATTATATTAAGTAAATATACTGCAATACTCCTTTACCCTACAATTTTAGAAGAGATGGTCTCGAGAAGCTTACCACACAAAAAAAGTCAACGAAAAAGGAATATAGGAAAATATACTCCCACGCGAAATATATACCTACATGTAATGGACCATATTATCGCAACATTGGTGTTTCACTTTTAGAATATGCCGAATGATGGAAGATTGATAGAACTGGAGGAACATCGAAAAAAATTAATTCATTAAATCATGATAACTGTAACGACTGAAAATAAGGATTGTATGGAAAGTATTTCGTCATCAATATTATTTAAAAATTTTATACAATATTATCTCTCAAGACTTTCGTTTCTTTGACGAATATGCAATTCCTCAACTATCTGCCACTTTACTTGAATCTCGACAAAATTTAGAATGTGCTCATTCGCCGATGTTTTCCCTCTATTTCAACTACATTGAACATGGTTGGAGTCAACATAAAATACTAGATACACTCGAATCGCATTCTGAAATTCTTTTAAAAGTAAAGGTAGCTACTTGATCAACGGTGAATGTAACTGAGACAAACATGGCTCAACCTACTAGTAAAAAGCATGAGCATGCAAAGACTTTTACAACCGATTTTTAAACTTAATAGATAACACAATTTTTTTTAAGAAACTTATGAGTTAATAGCGGATTTTTATCATACAACAAATGCAATAAAATTGATTTATTTAAAAGTAATTGATTGGTTTGCATTAATCCAAACTTTCATAATTTGCAGTTGCTCTTTTAAATAGAAAGTTTAAATTAAAAAGTTTTTGTAGACATGTTATAATATAAAATATATTACTACCCTTGTGAATACTTTTTAAAATAGACATATTGAATAGATGATTATGTGCCACTACAATTTTTAGGCTTTTATTGCATTGGGACCGATGCTATTGACAATATGTTCTGGAATGACAGTAGGATATTCAGCTATACTGCTGCCTCAACTGCAATCTTTAGAAAATTCTACCTTAAGCATTGACAGAGAAGAAGCATCGTGGATAGGTAAGAATTTACAAATAAAATATAATAACGAGAATATGAAAAAGTTAATTCATACAATAATAATATGAATTACTAAACATACATTTTTTTTTCTTCAGGCTTATATCTCCGAGTAAGTCTTTCTTATGGCTATTTCACTATTCTATTTATTATTCTACTCATTTAAAGATAGTCCTCCACGCCATCCAGTCTTCCCGCCGTGAATCTTTCTCTCTTTTTGGTTTTCCTATCAGTTTCTATCTTTTTATCGTTTAGCCTGTTCAAAGAGTATACTGGTTTTCCTGTTTTTTTTTTAATGTCACCGACTTTATAAAGCGTGCAATTTTTATTTATTCATCATAATTAATCTATTTTCGGATTCTCCAAGTACCATTGAGTTCTTATTCCGAACCCTATACTTCTCTCAATATCCTTCTTTCACATATCCTGAGTTGGTTTTTAAACAACTTTTAATTAAATTAACCTAATGATTTTGACTTGACAGCTAAAGCGGATCAATATTGTAACATTTTTTTATCATTAATATATTAAATTATTTTTAATTTCCTTTACCCATGGTAATGATACGCTGATGGTCGTGTTTACGATCAGAAATTTTTATTGGGAAACTAGCGAAATTGGACTGAAGAATCTACCTACTTATTTATTTAAAGACGCCGGTTTGGCTAATTCTTAGTTAATCCTTTTCCGGGTTCTTTTTCATAAATTCGGTAATTGTCGTCGAAGGCACGGTGTAAAGTTTTTTAAGAAAACCTAATCTATAAGATTTATAATTCATCACGTTTGTAGCTAGAAGGGTATCGTTATGTTCGATGTTAGCTTTTTACCTTCTCAGGAATACATACAACTGTCCAATCATTTTTGATTGGGAGATATCCCTTCTTTTTTTGATTTAAGTTTGGTAAAATTTTAGAGGAACCAGTTTACTTCTCGGTGGGTTCTCGTTGAGTAAAGGCTAATATCTCGTGAGACCCTCGTCTGTGAATTGTTTTCTAAGTGTGTATACATTTGTTTCTTTGAGTCTTTTTGATCCTACACTATATTAGATTAAATATAGTTATAAAGTATCCTTAATGTTAATTAAATTCAGTGTTTGATACAAGTAAAATATTAAGTACAGTTTAGGTACAGTGAAGTACCTAGTGCAGCAACCGTCAGGAATTACTGTAAGTTACCATAATCTTAGTATCTCCACTTATCTGGGCGAGTAATATGGTATGATATCATATTATCTTCCATTATCTGGACGTATCTAAAGTTCATCCATGTCTTCAAATCTATTTGAGAGTAACTACTGAATTTTGCATTCAATTTAAAGAACAGTCAATATTTTGTTACGAACCAAATTCCATCAGCTACTAAGAAATTTCAGTGTGTAATAATTATGAACATTTAAGACTCAGTTTATCAATAAATAATAGTGCGAGATAGCTAATCGAATTAACCAAGTGCGGTTTGGTTAAATTTTTATGTTTTCATTTCTGTAACCTTTTTGAATTTTTGTAAATTTAGATGTTATTAATTTTTCTTATATTTTGTGTTTGTTATAATTTTTATTCAGTTTTTTGCTTTAATATCTCGAGATACGCCAAAACTTTATTTGTGCATGATTGTATTATATATCTTTGTAAAGTTATTACATTACATATTACGGTAGCGGGTAGATACTCTTTTACGTTTCCGGTAAAAGATAGATCTACTTCAGGGATGCGACCCTACCCACGTGAGCCATAATTATCTCCCAATCTCCTGGTACCTGGGAGAAATTATGTCCTGAACCCATTCTCCCATCTAATTACCAAAGTTTCCATTCCTATATCCTACTCTGTCGGACAGTAGCATCAGTACCAAGATAGAGCGTAAGGGAAATGAATCTGCATCGGTATATTATTGATACTAGAGCTGCTAAATTAACCGAACGATTACCGGTATAAGTAATCCCCCACCTGTTGGTCAACAGCTAAGGGTGGAAGAACCGACACGTTCTTCGTGTCGGTTCTTCAGGAGCGGACATATCCTCCGACCACAACCCGGTTGTTTTGTCGATGAGAGTGAAGCTAAAGAAGGTCATCAGCCCTAGCACCAAGAACTAGGGGTGTTCTAGTGACCAAAACTATTGACCAAAAATGGGGAAGAATTCAACATGCCCTTGTGTCAGTTGGAAAAGAAACCCTCAAACCACTTAAAGAAAAAACAAAACCTTGGATGACAGTAGAAATTCTTAAACTCATGGAAGAACGAAGAAAACATAAAGCAAAAGACCTGAATAAATACAAAGAAATTCAGAGAAACATCAGAAAGAAAACTCAAGAGGCAAAAGAGAGGTGGCTCTCCGACAGATGCAAGGAAATAGAAGATCTGGATAAAAAGTACGATAGCTTTAATTTACACAAAAAAATCAAAGAAATGACAGGTTCTAGAAAGCGTACAAAAACGAATATCCTTAAAAATGATAAAGGGGATATTATTACTGATATGAAGGAGAGATTATGTCACTGGACCAATTACATTCAACTATTTAATGATGAAAGAGAAGAACTGTCATTAGAAATCACCGAGGATACTGGACCACCAATATTAAGAGAAGAACTCATCTATGCCATCAAAAACACAAAAGGGGGTAAAGCTACTGGACCAGATGAGGTGCCCATCGAATTAACTCATCGATGAAGATGTTATTTATGTAATGGTTGAACTCTTTAATCTAATATATCAGACTGCCACAATGCCCAAACAATGGCTGCAATCAACCTTTGTAGCAATTCCCAAAAAACCAAGTTCAACAACTTGCTCAAACCACAGAACAATAGCTTTAATGAGTCACACACTTAAAACATTTTTGAAAATAATTCACAGCAGAATTGTTAAAACTCTTGAATATGAGATTAGTGACACACAATTTGGCTTTAGAAATGGTATGAGTACAAGAGATGCTTTGTTCGGCGTGAATGTGCTGGCTCAGAGAGGCATGGACATGAATCAGGATATGTACTTATGTTTTGTAGACTTTGAAAAGGCATTTGATAAAGTTCAACATAAAAAGCTTGTAGATATATTAAAAAGCAAAAATATTGACAGTCGTGATCTGAAAATTATATCTAATTTATAGTGTAATCAAACTGCCAAGATAAGAGTTAAGAGCCAGTACACCGAAAATATCAAAATACAGAGAGGAGTCCGCCAGGGTTGCGTGCTGTCCCCACTACTTTTCAATGTCTACAGTGAAGCGGTATTTCAAGAAGCGCTCTCAGACTCAATAGAAGGTATATCTATCAATTGAGAAGTTTTGAATAACTTGAATAACTGATTTACAGAACGTAATGCAATTCCTTAATAAACGCTGTCATGAGTACGGACTGAAGATAAATTTAAAGAAAACTAAATGCATGATCATGACTAAATCTGCACATGCAAATATCCAATTGACTATTGAAGATACTGCAATTGAGAGTGTTAATAACTATAAATACTTAGGAAATGGATAACATCAGATGTAGACCAAACCAAAGAAATTAAGACACGTATTGAAATAGCACCTACATCATTTATTAAACTTAAAAAGTTTCTTTGTTGTCGGGATATAAGGTTAGAACTACGCCTGAGAATGCTTCGATGTTACGTGTTCTTACTCTTCTTTATGGTTTGGAAGCTTGGACACTAAAACAAGTTCATCTGAATAAGTTGGCCGCCTTTGAATTTTGGTGTTACAGAAGAATCCTACGAATATCATGGATTCAAAGAATGTCAAACATGGAAGTTACTAGAAGGATAGGAACTGAGGCGGAAATAATATTAACTATAAAAAGACGAAAACTTGAGTACTTGGGACATGTGATGAGAGGGCAAAAATACGCATTATTACAACAACAAATGTGGGAAAACGAAGAATATCCTGGCTTAAGAACTCAAGGGAATGGTTTGAATGCAGTAGTGCAGAACTGTTTAGAGCGGCAGTCAACAGAGTCCGCATAGCCATGATGATTTCCAACCTTCGATAGAAGATGAAACTTAAAGAAGAAGAAGAAGAACAAGTTTCTTGATATAACAATAACTCTGAATATTTGCCGTTTACCTTTCATATTTTTTCTTGGGTTTGGTCTCTGAACCTAAATATCTTTCTTTACCTCTTTTCTTTTCTAAGGATTCTTAATTTTTTCCTTAAACTTCAAAAAATTAAGTGGCGCCCTGTTTTTATCTTATCGTATCTTTGGTAATTTTACCGATCTATCTTTTTGTTTATTTCTGTATCTTTTCTCATATATCTTATCTTGTTCTATCTTTACTTATTTCGTCCGTTGGACCCATTCCCGGTTCCAAAAGCTAGTTTCGAACCCACGATTCGTTCTCCACCAACCATCTGGCTGCCGTTTGCAGTGTCTCCATTGGTGACCTTTCTAGCACCATCCCAAAAATGGTTTTCGAGATTACACATATTTTTATGCCGCCCAGAGTGTGGGGCTTATATTCTTTTGTTTTTTTCTTTGTCCGTTGCCTTTGCGTGTCTTTCACATTTTTATGTCCCGGATTCTATTAACCTATAACCTAATTATTTTCTTAGCTTTCTCTATACATTTATATAACGCCAAGCTACGAGGACCCTCATCAGCTTCCGTTGTTTTATTTCTATTTATTTCTTCTTATATTTGCTTTATCTCTATCTCAGTTATGCCTTAATTTTCTTCTTGCGTTCCGTTTGGTAAACGCACTACAAAAGTTCTCCAGGTTTATGTATAAATTTTGGAATTAAACTTGATCCTTCTTTGGTATATTTGTACTATTTTTATATTTTTTATTATTATTATCTGTAGACTCAAATTAAAAAATGAATAATTTTGAAGTAAATTTTCTTACTTCAGAGGAAATTCATTATGAGTTGAAAATCAGAGGAACTGTTACGAGTAGAGAAATAAAAGAAAGGAGGAAAATCCTCAAGAGATTGTTAGTTAGGGATAACAGCAATCAATTATCTTTAGAGACCTTAGATTATGATAATGAAAAGA